TTATACGTTTTCATACGTTTTTATATCATTATGTCTGGATACATAATATCAAATCATTCATACGACCATCCTCCCCCTAAAGGGAGGCTAATAGGTTTACACGAAGTGACTTTAAAAAAATTGACGAACAAAGCTGAGGATGATTGTAAACATCGTCAATTTCGATGATGAGGACAGAAATTGCTTTGCTCACGTAGGAAAACTAATTACTAAAAGAATACAAATAAAAATTAATGTTAATCTCGAGAAAATGAAGATTTTTTTATAAAAGTTGAAAGAGCATATTATATTATATTATATTTAATTATATTATATTTAATAATATTATATTTATATAATTATATTAATAATATTATATTTAATATAATAATAATTATATTAATTATTATTATATTAAATTCGCCTTTCAGGCGAGAGATATTTCTTCAAATAAGCGAGAGCGAGGGAGCAAGACTGGGAAGTATCGAGAGCGAGAACGACCTCTATTCCCTACTCGCTCATGCTACTTCCGAATCTTGCTCCCTCACTCTCACTTATTCCAAAAGGTGCCACTCCATGCGTCTCGCCTGGAAGGCCTGTTCCTAAGTCCGTTATTCTCATTCTGTCTCAGGGCTACACTGGTCTCATTAGTAAATCGTCAGCCAATACGAACAAAGCAATTTCTGTTTTTATTCTCGAATTCTTGACCTCGACCGTTTAGTAAATTGTGGCCTAAAGAAACGTGCATACATACTGTACAGTATGTAATATGTGCAGTACAGCACACAGTGCCCAACATATACATAAAAGGATCCTCTGCTCTCATCCTCTGTGCTACACGCATGTTATATTCAGAGAGAATATTGTCTTTTCGGTATGTTGCATACTTATACATATGATGACAGTGTTACCTTACGCGTTTTCGTGCGCGCACGCGCGCTCGAATTTCGAGTTAATTGAGTAACTTTATGTTTTAATTGTCAACATGTATTTGAAAGCGTTCTTTCTCATCCAGATTACGGGATAATCATTCATTGTATAGTTATGGCATCCACGATAAAACGTCATACCGTGACTCCTACCCTTTGTTTCAATCCTTTGTGGGAAGAAGCATACTTTTTTGTTGAACGCGAAGGAGCGGCGAAGTGTCTGCTCTGTCACATGTCAACAAATCAGTTCAAGAAATACAATCTTCAACGACACTATAACTCGTTCCATGCGAAAGCTTTTGTACATTACACACCGGAGAAACGAATTGCAAAACTGGAAAGCCTGAAGTATAAATTAGCAGAAATCGATACTGATTTACTTGAAGAGGTAAGTATTATAATGAAGATGTTACAGTTTCTAATTATAGATAGTAAAACTTAAAAGTTTCATTGTTGTTTTAATTGTAGGAGAGCAAGTATGTTAATACAGAACCGATCATTCAAACAAGTTATAGGATCGCATTGGAAATTGCACGAAACGTTCGTCCATTCTCGGATGGAGAATTTATCAAGACATGCCTGTTAGCTAGTGCCGAACAACTATGTCCGGATGAAGTTCACAAATTTGAAGGAATTAATCTATCCCGACAAACAATTCAACAGTGTATTCATGAAATGGCTAGTAATGCATCGCAACAATTGAATGTAATTGCTAAAAAATTTGTTGTGTTTTCTTTAGCTTTCGATAAGTTGATCGATACGTCTGGTGCTTCGCAATTAGCTGTTTTTATTCGAGGGATTGACGATACATTTGCACTTACAGAGGAGCTGCTAGACATTTTTTTTGTAAAAGACGATGCAAAAGGAGAAGACATTCTTTCCTGCATAGAGGAAGCAATTAAATATAACAATTTGGACTGGTGTAAGCTTGTCGCAGTTGCCACCAATGGTACACCATCCATAGTAGATATCAATACTGAGTTTATCGATTGTCTACAATTAAAATTACGAAATCTAGCTGTTCCTCAAAAAGTAGTTACTATACATTCTATAATTCATATACAACATTTGTGTGCAAAATGTATACAGTTTGATAATGTTGTGTCTGTTGTTGTGAAAACAACAAATACTATACAAACGTATGGTCTCCAAAATTCGCAGTTCAGATCATTTTTGGAGGAACTTGAAGCCGAATACGTTGAGCTACCATATCACACTAATATTAAGTGGCTGAGTTGTGGAAAAATATTAGATAAATATTACAATCTCCTCGCTGAGATTGATTTACTTATGAATATGGTTGGAGATCCAGTACCAGAGCTACAAAGCGATCATTGGATCGCTGATTTAGCTTTTATGTGTGACATTATTCATCACCTGAATGCCCTGAATGTATCTTTGCAGGAGGAAAGAAAAACAATTATAGATTTATTCGATTTAATACAAGCATTTAAAATGAAATTAGAATTATGGATAGAACAGTTACGAACAAAAACTATGGAACATTTTACGAAACTAGCATTAGTGAGTCCTAAGATTAATTTTGATAAATATATAGATGTTCTGAAAAATCTCAATAAGGAATTCACCTTGAGGTTTAAAGATGTTTCAACATTAGAAAAAGATTTTGACTTAGTAGCGTTGCCATTTTCTATAGACATCAAATCAGCACCACCTTATTTGCAATTAGAACTTATTGATTTAAGATGCGACAGAAACTTAAAACAAAAGTTTATGGATAAAGTTGACTTGATAGATTTTTACAAGAGTTTACAACAGAGTAGATTTCCTCAATTATATAAATATGCAGCGCGTATAATGGCTATGTTTGGATCGACTTATATTTTTGAAAAGTTAGTATGTATGTTAAGAAAAACGAAAAACACATCCAATTATACAGTATCAGATCATAATTTGAAAGATTCGCTTATTTTAGGCACAACACAAACTATAATATAGCAGATTTTTATTTATTGAAATTATTGTATCAATGTTCTATATACATTACAATACATAAATACACTCCCAAACAACAAGAAAGCACGCGCGTACTATCGTTAATTTCTTGTGAAATAATTGTGATAAAGTAAAAATGCATGTAGAGAGTATAGATATGCATAGATACATAAACATTACCTGAGTTCCCTATATGGCTAATTGGTTCTGTCAGAAGAAATGAGAATATATGAATTGAAGCGGTCAAAATAATAGCACATTTAACTAAAAATTGTGTATAGCAATAAATTAACGAATAACGATATTTAATGCTTAATATTTTGTGGCTCCTCCTTTACATTTATTAACAGTCATCATTATCTTTGATAAAGATTTATAGAGTTTTTTAATATAGTTTCTCTTGTGCTTTAATTGCTCCCACTCATCTTGAATACAGTTTTTGTTTTTATTAGGCAATGTTTTGAAATTGTCTGCCATTTACATTACAGCTCGGTTAACATTTCCATAATAATTTTTAACGATATGACTCTTTACATGCATTTTAAAATTTTTACTTTACCACAATTATTTCGCAAGAAATTAATGATAAGCACGCGTATGCTACGTTGTTGTTTGGATGTGCATTGTAACATACAAACAATGTGCATTTATGTATCAGCTACATGAATGTAATATGGAAAATGCAGTATATGGTGACCAGAAGCTTGATGTGTAAAGGTAAGTGCAAACTTCTATTATCTTTTAACAATTATTTAAAACTCAACTCTGTCTACATGACAAACTAAGTATGGCCAGACAAAGTACAAAACGGTATACGTATTGTTTACACATATTCACGAAAGTATTCGGACACCTTGGAATAACTTTTTTATAATTAGGCAACGCGATTTAAAATTTTCTGAGATGTTAGAGGGCTTGGATCGAAAAATTGTTTTCAAAAATTGCAATTGAACGGGATGATAGAAAAGATTAAAATATGTTTTTTCAACTTTTTAACCGAAGTCTATAACGAAAATTTAAAAAAATGCATTTCATAAAAATTCGATGACTTACGTGCACACTGAAGATTTCACAGAAATCAGTTAACGTTGTTGCGAGTTACAAACAACTAAAGATACCGATAATCACGAGATTTCTAATTTAAAAGATGTACATTAATTTAATCAAATTTAATTGTTTGTGATCTCTGATTCTCTCTCTATCTGAATGAACAAAGGATAAGTTAATATTTAACAACAATTAAATATAATTAATACATCGATCGTAGATTATAATATAACTTTAAAATAACAGCTGACCTTAAAAAACAACTGCAATATATGCTATTTAAGAGCAAATTTTTTTAGATCTTTTTATTTATTTTTGATATATTATAGATATTTGATATATTATATATAGATTATTATATTATATATAGATATATTATATATTATATATAATATATTATAGATATTATCCAAAGCGACAAGTACTTTATTTTAAATTTAAGAAATTTCAAAACAATGTTTTACTGTGACATTTTGTTAGATTACTAAAAACAAAAGTAATATGTTGAAAGTTGTCATCTTATTTTGCTCATCCTGTATCGGTACTATGAAAATTAATCTAAGAAGACGGTGGGCAACAGATTTTTCCCGGAATGGTTACTTCACCCGCAGCCTTATTGCAAAGTCGACTGTTCTCTAAATAACAGATCCTCTGTAAGTGCTCGAGCGCTGTTCCCAGAAATGTTTAAACGTTAAAATTAAATCTCCAATGTTCGACAAATTGCTGATATTTTAAACGACTCGAATTTCGCGAAAACGAACAATAAATCTGAAATGATTTACAAGTTTGTAGTCTTTATCTGCACAATAATTTATTTTACATTTCTTCCGCGAAATAAGGTGTCCGCTTTTTACACGATGCAGCGGCGGGCGAAAAACTGAATACGTCTGTAGAATTCGTCCGGAAATGCCGCAAATTAAAATGTCTTCAGAAAGATTGGAAAATTCTCTCCATAAACGAATTTATCGTAAATTGAAATACAATTGTGCTCAGGAATGGGCCAAATAAACAATGCTTAACTTTAGGTGGGCCGCAAAAAAAGAAAAATCAATGTTCATAGAAACAAATATTTTTATTTTGATATATTATTATAAATATTATTATAAATATATTATATATATATTTATATATATATTATTAATATATTACTAATATATTAATTATATTATTAATTATATATATTATATATTATTAATATATTATTATAAACATATATAAAGTTAAATTATTGTTTACGTCCTGATTCTTGACATCTCTTCTCTGATACTATCTTTCTTGTTTCGGGAGAAATTTTATTGGCCGAGACTATTTCTATTTGATTTTTACTTTGCGTCGGATATATTATTGACTGGGCCGCAAAAATGTTCATCTCGGGCCGCGAGTTTGACACCCCTGCTTTACAGCAACGTGAGATTCTATTAAAAAAAAAAAGAAACAAGTTTGACCTTCGTGTGTCCTCTACGCGTCGACNAAAATCAATGTTCATAGAAACAAATATTTTTATTTTGATATATTATTATAAATATTATTATAAATATATTATATATATATTTATATATATATTATTAATATATTACTAATATATTAATTATATTATTAATTATATATATTATATATTATTAATATATTATTATAAACATATATAAAGTTAAATTATTGTTTACGTCCTGATTCTTGACATCTCTTCTCTGATACTATCTTTCTTGTTTCGGGAGAAATTTTATTGGCCGAGACTATTTCTATTTGATTTTTACTTTGCGTCGGATATATTATTGACTGGGCCGCAAAAATGTTCATCTCGGGCCGCGAGTTTGACACCCCTGCTTTACAGCAACGTGAGATTCTATTAAAAAAAAAAAGAAACAAGTTTGACCTTCGTGTGTCCTCTACGCGTCGACCTATCAAAAAGGATCGAACAACTTTTGTCTGACATCCTTTTTTTTACTGTCGTCAAAAACGAGCGAGTTATTCAAGTGTCTTGTTTCAAATGTCCCACCCTGTATATTGTCAAGTCGGATCGGTTTCAAATAAAGCGATCATTGTTGCAATACGTAGAACTTTTTCCCAACGATAAGATGTGATGTTGCAACACAGCGATCTATGGATCTGTTAATAATATCAATCGTTTCTTGGATGACGGTGAATCCGGGAGTATAAATAAGTGGGGATCATGAAGAGATCAAACATTCAATGCTACGGTTCAGTGTGCTGCAGTGATACAACCATCACGAAAAAGAAGGTGTGTATCAAATTTTTTAATTTTTTAATTTTTTAATTTTTTAATTTTTTAATTTAGAGTTGCTTCTTGCTATCTGTCGGTGTACGGTATAGTGTTCTATGTAATCGATATGGTGTTCTATGGCAAACGTAACACAACGTCACAAAAATCAATTCGTCGATTTTATTCATAAGTAACAGTGTCGCATTGATCATGTGGCAAATGATCGCTCGGTTCCGGTGACTTTCGTTGCGACAATGAGAGACGCGTAAAGAAATCGAACGAGGGGAGGATCGGATCAGCTTTTATAGTTAAGAAAAGAAGTTTAAAAGAAAACGAGTTTACGAAGAGAAGTGAATAGTTGTTTATAATTCGTGGAAAAGATATGGACGATCGCGTAGTGCAAAAGAAAAAATAATTACGGGAATTTAGTCTAATATTTTTCATCGCAACAACACGTTATATTAGGATGCCATATTCTGTGACCATGAATTTCGACATTTGTCAATCAAACTTTTAACCGTTTCTTGTAACGTTTCTATTTACCTGCCGTTATCAAAATCGTTTCGAAGATAAATTATCACAGAAAAAGAAGCAGCGGCGATGATCGTTCTCCTACGTTATTTAACTTTATTTATACGGAAAACGCGCGGAACTTCGGATTAATGATTAGAAACTAGACCGTTAAATGCGATAAATTCTCCCCAATTTTCCTTCAGCTTGTAAACAAAAACGAACGATTCGGGGTAGAGGGGACACGATTGTTCGAGCCCTGCGCCTCGTTTTCAGAATACTTGACTAATCGGCAACTGTAAAAACGAGCCGCAAATTGTACATTTTTGTTTCAAAATCGGAGGAAAATTGGGCAGAATTTACCGTATTCACAACACATTCTCTTTCCTTTGTTCCAGGGGGACACAATGGCACCACAATGTCCTATATTCATAATCTGCCTGATGCTGATTCCCAGCAATATGGGTCTTCGAATCATAAATTATAATTCGAAAAATAATTTCAATATCCAGGGTCGTGTTATCGAAAGAATTGCCAGCGTCGATTGCCCGCGCGAAGAATCTACGAATTTGAACAATTTGGGCGTCAAAGAGTTTGATGAATGTTTCATCAATAGCGTATTCATAAAAAACGTCAACTTAGCTACGAATCAGTTAAAAAAGATACCAATAAAATTATTCGATTGCGTACAGAATTTGGAATGTGTAAACGTGGCTTTTAATCGCATCCCAGACGAAGAACTGTTCAAATTCAGTCATCAGAATCTGAAAACCTTGATTCTCGGTTATCAAGATAATCAAAATAACACGATGCCTTTCGGATCTCTGTCGTCGCAGATGCAAACAGGATATTTTCCAAATCTGGAAGATTTGCATCTGGATGGGCTGGGTTTATTGATATATAACTTAAAATACAGAAATATGTTTCCCCAGCTTAAAACATTATATATAACAGACAACAATATTACGATTGTAAATACTGATTTTCTGTGGAATCTTCCGTCGACTTTGACAAACTTACACTTAGAAAGAAACCGTCTTAAAACGGTGAATCTGCTCGCCGTGAAGAGCCTCGAGTCTTTATACTTGGACAATAATCCGTACCTTAAGACTCTTCGATTCGGCGACATAACAACTCTATCGTTAAGAAGATGTTTTCTATCGAGTTCGTTGGTAAATGATTTCATCAACGACGTCCATCAGTCTTTAAAAGTGTTAGACTTGTCGGAGAATTACCTGAAAGAAGTGCCCGAAAATTTATTCGTTAATGCAAAACGATTAGATATTTTAAGTCTGAGTAATAATTTGATAACGACAGTGCCAGACATCAAAGGATTGTCGTTTTTGACGAAATTATCGTTAAGTCATAACAGCGTGAATCGCGTGGAGAATCTGATATCGTCGTCGTTAGAGGTTTTGAATCTCAATCATAATGAAATTAGCCTCATAATCGAAGCGACGTTCTCGGGGCTGCCTTCGTTGAAGGTATTAGATCTGTCGGAGAATCAGTTGGAAAGCTTGCCCTTTGAGTGGGCGTACGGTTTACATAAACTCGAGAGTCTGAATCTCGATTCGAATAAGTTTGCGACGTTCGCCGATATATCGGTGGCATCCGTGACAGATCTGAGGCATTTGTACGTGGGAAGAAATTGCTTTGACGAAATTCGCGAAACCGAGTTGCAACAGGTACCGGAGGATTGCACGATCTACGTGTTATAAATTACAATATTATAACATAACAACGCGGGCGTGGACGGCGGTGTTTCCTTAAGGCGAGGGTTAAAAGATCGCGGAAATCTATGACAGTCCGATTAGTCGACATCTCCTGCTCCCTCTTGGAAATTATATCATTTTTGGGGAACGAGGCTTAGGCTTAAGTTACGGTACGCCGACATGATCGCAGCGATTCGAACGAACGACGATTTTTCTATTGTTTTAATTATTCTTTTGTATACAATAAAGAATTAGCGTTGTGCATGTAAAACGTGTCGCTGATTTCTTGAGTTTCTTGGATCCTTTAGAAAAGTTTCATTCGAATTGTTCTAAAACGAACGGACGATTCGTATAAATGATGTTGATTAAATGAGAGCCTCAACGTCCTATGATTTTACATTTGAAATATCGTGGATGCGACGCGAACCAGACGGGCCACCGAGTTAATCCGAAGGGCCTGGCCTAAACAATGACGTATAGACGAGCTAAAAGGAAAGAAATAGTGTGTCTCGTCATATAGTTATTGATCTGTGTTTCGCTTAGATTTTTCGTAGGGTGCAAACAGGGTCCGAAAAATTGAGAACCGTGAAAAATGAAAAAAAAAAGAAATGCACGTTTCAAATTGAAATTTGTTAGAAATCGGTTTTATATTAATTCAGTAATGAAAGAACGTCGCAAGCATTGTTACTCATTTTTTCGGATTCTTTTGAAATCTTCGATCCTAATTAGAGAAATAAGAAATCTTTTCTTTTCCCTTTATGCAGATATGCATCAATATGTAATTATTATGTAATAATTAATTAATATTAATTATATGATTAATAATGATTAATATGTATATAATATTAATATTAATTATATGATTAATAATGATTAATATGTAATATTAAGCATTCATAATATTAAACATCAGAGAAACGATGTAAAAAAACGTAAATATTCAATCGAAAAAATGATCGAGTAGCAGTAATTATGCGCATAATATTCAACCAGGTCTGTGATCGCATGCAACACGTCTGCAGGGATCTTTACGCATCGGCTGTGGTAAAAACGGAACTTCCGACGGACTAGCTTCAGGAGTTAGCTGCCAGATGGCGCGTCGATGTTCTTAAAGCGTTCCGTTCGTACGCTACGATCACAGCGCTAGAAAAATATAAACAGGACAAAATTGTCCTCATAGCCAAAATTGTGTTATATAAGGCCCCGAGTCAATACAAAAAGGGGGCAGTACCGAAAACTGATTAAAAACATTTTTTTTAAATTCCACATAAGCAACTTAACTTTGATTGAAAATATAAATGTACGTATAACGCGAAACGAGAGAAAGAAAGAACGAAAAATATCATTTTAATTTCTTTTAATCTATTAATTTCTTTAATTTTTATTTTTATTTTCTTCTTTCTCATTCAGATTTTTTGCACCTTCTATCCTCTTTAAAAGATCTGCAATTTTGGTTCGTTCGCTGGTTCTTGCAAGATCATTGTAGATTTGATGATACGAAGATTGACAGTTTTGCAGCTTTTTTTTGAATTTTCAGCTTCTTTCAGTGGAAGGGTATATATTATTAATTATAATATAATAATAATTATATTATTATAATATAATATAATAATATAATATAATAATAATCATATTATTATAATAATTATATTATATAATATAATAATATAATAATTCTGTTTTCATGTAAAGGCACTACAGTTCATTATTCCTTCCCGTAATTATTTCAAGGTAATTTAGTTCTCAAATATGTTAAACAAAAATCATGTTATCCAGTGCTATAGAAGCACAGTGTCGTACAAAGGTTTTCGCAATTTGTTTATCGTATTAGAGCGAAACAGTGTCATCGGTCGCAGTGATATCCGAGGGAAACCGTGTTATATGTTGCCATATTGTAGGAGGGCTGACTGTAATTTATTCAATAAATTAATAGAAATTAAAATAATTCTAATCAAATAAAAATACTTCTGGAACGTCATCTTTAAAATCCGTCATTGTAAGATAAACTGTGCGCAGCAACGTTCCGATAAATACACCATGAGAATTGTGCCGTTCGAATATCCGTTTCTCGAAGAGTTAACCAACTCGGAGCGCAATAGCAATTGTTGTTCCTAAGTCCGCGATCAAACTCGGTCTGAACCGGCCAAACTTTTACCGCATTACCGCGGAGGAGAGATAGAATCGGCATATAGAGAACGCGGATGTATTCGTCTGGTCCGCGAAAACGGGGCTGTGTAGAGCTCGGTTACCGTTTTAATCCCTCGCCGAATTGCAATCCTCGCTGGCTCAAACGACCACGTTGTCCCAGAGGAGCCGCTCGTGGCTGTCGAATATTTTCAGTTTCAGTCAAGATACCAAGTCCATCAGCCCGCTTCAAAAGCGGACGAAACATAGCGTTTCAAATATTTCATCACGCTCTCCTTATTACAGTAATGTCTCCCTAATTGTCGCCAAAATTGTGCACTTGAATAGACGATTTGGAAAGAGGAGACGCGATTATTCGAGCCTCGCGGTTTATTTTTATAGTTATAAATTGTCCACAATTATAAAAATGAGCCCCGAGGTTCGAATAATTGTATCTCTTCTTCCCAAATTGTCTATTCGTGTGGTAAATCTGGGCGTCAATTAGAGAGACATTACTTGTACAGTAATGTCTCCCTTACTGACGCTCAGATCGTCAACTAAAATTGATAATTTGGGAAGAAGAGATACGATTATTCGAACCTTGGGGCTCATTTTTATAATTGTGGACAATTTATAACTATAATAATAAACCGCAAAGCTCGAATAATCGTATCTCCCCTTCCCAAGTTGTCCATTCGTGTGGTCAATCTGGGCGTCAATTAGAGAGACATCACTGTACAGTAATGTCTCCCTTACTGACGCTCGGATCGTCAACTAAAATTGATAATTTGGGAAGAGCAGATACGATTATTCGAACCTTGGGGCTCATTTTTATAATGGTGGACAATTTATAACTATAAATTGCCCACAAATTGTCCATTCGTGTGGTCAATCTGGGCGTCAATTAGAGAGACATTATTGTACAGTTATGTCTCCCTTACTGACGCTTGGATCGTCAACTAAAATTGATAATTTGGGAAGAGGAAATACGATTATTCGAACCTTGGGGCTCATTTTTATAATGGTGGACAATTTATAACTATAAATTGCCCACAAATTGTCCATTCGTGTGGTCAATCTGGGCGTCAATTAGAGAGACATTATTGTACAGTTATGTCTCCCTTACTGACGCTTGGATCGTCAACTAAAATTGATAATTTGGGAAGAGGAAATACGATTATTCGAACCTTGGGGCTCATTTTTATAATGGTGGACAATTTATAACTATAATAATAAACCGCAAAGTTCGAATAATCGTATCTCCCCGTCCCAAATTGTCCATTTTTGTGCAGAATCTGAGCGTCAGTTAGGGAGACATTACTGTAATATTCGTCTCGACGGCGGCGCTGGGCATTTTATTTCGGTGACGGAATATCCGCGGTAAAATGGGGCAGATTTTTGTTCGAAAAACGAAAGGATCGTTCCTTGATAAATCGCAGCTGGCACGACGCCCGTGTCGCCACGGAAAGGTCGTCGCGTGCTCTTGGAAACTATCGTCGGGGCTTAATGCAAAATCCTCTCGCTATCTCCGCGCGGTATTTCCGTCCCGTTCCGGTTTCTATTTATACGCCGAGATTTCGATGTGTCTTCGACGATTCTAATTTACCGTTCCTCACCGACGCGATCGGATCATGGGAGGCCCCGACGAAAGCGAAAGCAATTAAACCCGAATTTCCTCCCCACGTCATTTCGTTGCCGTCCGGCCGTTCCGTGGCTCGAGCGGAAAGTTGGCCGCGCGTCTCGTTCGCAGGGAAAACTTTTAATTACACAATGCTCGTATTTTTTGTATATATTTTTTTCTTTTTTCGTTTTATTTCGTATTTTTTCTCCGTTAGTCTCGTAAAATAAATCCTTCGAACAACGAGTCGAGACGAAGAACGCGACAATATTCTCAAACTCGCGGAATGTTTCCATTGTTTTCGTATTTTATCTGCACAGTTTTCTCGTATGCGCACACAATTCGCAGTCCGGCGATCCTATGCGTTTAAGGGTAACGCTGCGTAGTGTAAAAATAATTGGCAA